GGCAGCTCCTTGGTGCTATTCTCAGCTACCCAATCTGTATTTCGGGACATAAAACAAGCAAATGAAAGTTAACCATATAATAGAGGGATCACGTTACTAATATTTTTGTTGCTCTTCAGAATAGGGAAAGAGGGATTAGCAAAGCATTTCCCTGTGTCTCAAGTCATGTGAGAGTTGGTCAGTAGAGAAAGCTGCTGTTGCTGGGCTTTTACCCTCCGCCAGGATTTGGCCTTGTTTTAGACAGTTCAAACCACAACCATCACGAGAACCACAACCTTTGCACACATTAAATATTAATTCTTTATATTAATAAAAATAGTATCAACATCATTACAGCTAATTAGAGGTAGAGGCCTCGTGGGTCATCATGCTGGTTATAAGCCTTTTGAAGTCCAGTTGATAATGGAAAAGATGGAGAGCTAATTAATCCCTTCTTTTCTAGTTGAAGTCTGCAGAGCATGGGTTGAAGGGAAAGGCCTTGGAGAAAGTTCATATTACTCCTTCCTCATTGAATGCCCTGTGAAATGGGAGAAGGCCTTGGATTCCCCCCGCCCACCTTCAACTTCCTATATGAGCATGTCAGAAGAAGGTCCGTATCTTGGTCCTGAATCTTGACAGGTAACTGTGGGTACCCAGAATCAGGCTGCACCTCCTCTCTTCTTCACACTGTTCACAACTTTCCAGCAATCTTTGGCCAACAGCTCTCCTTCCTTAAACCCTAGCTCCATGTCTTTGGCATCTGTTTTTAGTCTCCTCCCCCCATGCTGCTTCAGCAGTTTCCCTCTTTCCCTTCAGTATGCCTCTTCTAAGTGGTTGCAGAGGACAGGGATTGTCTGGTCTCTGAGCACCTCAAGAACAATGCCAGGAGAAATGCAAAATGCATTTGTTGACTCCAGAACTGCAGCTGAGCCGTCAAACACACATGGATCCCGAACCAGTTTGGCCACCACAGCCTAAGTTAATTCAATATACAAACCCTCTTTTAAATTTCTCCAAAAATCTTTCTCATTTCAGCTGCCATCATTGTATTTCATTGTTTTAATATGTATCTTAGTGATGCTGTTTGTTGTAACATAGACACTTGTTTATTAATGGAGCAATTCCATGTTAGAAAAGCTAGCTTGCTTCATTTTAGCAACTGGATGAGCATGGCAACTTCTCCAGCTGATTTTTCAGTGTGCCCATTGTAACTCTTGTGCTGCTTAAGACACTATTGAGATCCTGTGTGTGTGTGTGCGCGCACACATGTATGCATGCACATACCCCGACATGCGCACATCTGGATACTCCACCTGTTGCTGACTGCCTTGGCAAATTGCTTTCTGCAGCCTCTTTAACTCCCTAGGCCTGGAAAATGTGCAGTTTTATGTGATGTTTAGAAAACACAGGGATAAAAGCACCAGCATGGTGGACTTTCAAACCATTGTCACTTTGCATTGTATTCCCTGTCCAGACAGGCAAGCCACTCCTTTTAGAATGAAAGTGGTATTTTCCTGGTGCCTTTTGAAACGAAAAGGATGGCTTAGTGGTAGGGAGACAGGGGACTTTCACTATACACAGGGTCTCACAACTTGGTTCATCAGATGCTCACTGTATTCACTGAGCTGCTTAGTCCTTCCTTTCAGCGACTCTGAAAATTTCTACCTTTAAGGATTTCAACTGGCATCATTTCGACTGTCAGGACATGCTGCTAGTTCATAGAGGCTGCTAGTTCAATTTGTGAGGGGTAAAACTGTCTCCCTGTATGACCAGAGACTGTTCACTGTGGCTTTGCATTGCAGGAAAACAGAGGAAATGATGATCATGCTTTGTGTTCAGGGAGACTTGTCCACCTTTAACAATCATCACATGGTGGAGCACCTGACCCTTCAAAGGAACCCAGTTTCTCAGAACTTACTTTACTGCTCTGTAACACTTATATAGGTCGCAGTTATCAATTGGAAAAGTGTGGCATTGAGCTGTTATTCCTTCAATATTCCATGTTTGTCTTTATTTGCAGCAATCAGTGTAGTTTCCCTTGCAATAAATGTTAGTTGATGGACATATTCCTGCTTTTCAAGCTTCTTGGTAATGCTTTTTCTTCTGTGCCTAATTTGTATAGCTGATCCAAACATGGGCTTTGCTCTCCCAGAGTGTAAGCCCCTGTGCAGAATAGTTCTACGTCTCAGTAGTCCCAGATGTTGCCAGATTTAGATCGTACAGGCAGCTCTGTTTTTTTCCTTGCAAAATTGATAGGTGATACTTATGCTACCAACCCAAGTCTTGTAATCTTCGCTGAAAGGAATGAATGAATGATGAACACAACTGGTTTTGGGCAAGAATGAAGATCCAGTTGCTGAAATTAAAAAGAAAGAGAGAATGAGTTTGTGAGTGGACCAAATTAAGCACATACATGGAATAATTTCTGGGTTTGATCTGAACATGTTCTGTTATTCCACAGAAGGCTACCATTTGAGCCAACCTGTCAAATGTTTTTGTTGATCATGTTTCTGATTTGGCTTTCGCAGTATGATAAGGCCACACGCAGCATGACAAAACCATTTTCAAGTATTTCCAGAAGGAATAACATTTAGCCAAGCATTAAAAGAGACTTGGTACAAGACGTTCTTTTACTGGTGTATTACCCCTAAAGATATTCAAAATATGGACAAGAATTATAATGGTAAGTGCTGGGAATGCAAAGGCACACGTCAGCATATGTGATGGACAAGTAATAAGGTAAAAAAATGGAAATAAATACATAATGAAAAAACGGAAAAAAAATGAAAAATAACTTTCCAGTGAATGCTAAGAATATGCTATTGAATATGTTATCAGAAACTCTGCTGAGAAATATGGGAGAATTATTTAAATATATGATAACAGCAGCCAGAGTTACACTTGCAACAAAATGGAAAACGTAAGATTGCCCGACCAGCAAAGATTGGAAAAACAAGTTAGCTGGCTGAATATGCAGTGATGGCAAAATTAATCAGCTATGTAAACAGAAGACCAGTCAAAGATTTTAATGCCAAATGGGAAGCTCATTGCACACACACTGATATTAAATATAAATAAGATGAAAAATAGAGTTTAAGTAAGGATGATTAAACTTGATATATTTACCATTACGTCATAAAAAGGAAATCCAGTTAATGAATTTAGTTACAAATGAAAAGCCTATTAATGTCTATTTTATTCGTAATTGTGGGGAAAAATGGAATCAATGGATATAATTAATGCATAATATAAACAATGATTAGATTAGTATAATTGTTTTCTGAAATAAGGAAGGGAAGAAGAGGAGAAGATGGGGAGATGGGTGGAGAATGGAAAAAGAAATGAAGAAAATTAGTTTTAATTTGGTTTCTGGATATACTTTGAGGTGAATCATAGCTTACTTCTCTGTGTTAAAGCAGTTTTTCATGTGAAATTATTGGTTTTGTTTAGCTACTTACCAATTTAACAAGCATGATTTATAATTACATATTACCATGTAAAATTGTGGTTATAACTTTAGATGAAATAAATCTAAATAAATAAATTGCTATTGCTTATTCTTTGAAACTTTTAGAATCTAGTTTTATAAGCAATTTTTGTAGAAGTTCCCTTAGTAAATTTTTCTTTTTGATGGTCTACATTTTTATTTCTGCTTCTTATTATTTAAAAAAATAATAAAATATAACAAATCAATTATTTGTAGATTATGGTGAGACTGAATCAGACAGGTGAAGTTATAACCTTGCTATAGAGCCCTGTTAGAAAAGCACCAAATATGGAAACATAATACAACATTTCACTTCTCCTTCTTCTCAAATAGGTAAATTTGTTGTGATTGATCTCTTAATAGGGATCTGGCACTGACAGTTGGATCAAGATGGTGGGTAGGAAAGACAACCCTGTCTTCAACCTCAGTATTTGCTTTAGGAAAAGGAAAATGTACTCGTATTGGTTTGCTAGAGTCAAGTGCACATCAAGCAAGCTAGTGCTGGGGGTAGAAGCTTTAATTGCTCTTAGCTGTAAGGGGTTGTATACTGGTCCCTTGGATAATCTCCTGGCCCTTTCCTTCCCAGTGAAAGATGAGCCTATTTTCACAACCAAACTTCATCATTTTTTAACCGTTAAAAATCCCATACCTCTATACTATTCATTCCCTTTGTGCAGTTGTGAAGCAAACTTCAAAACCACTAATTAATGAATGTATTTGCAGAACAGCCTGTAAATAAAGAGAATATGCAGATGCAGTTCCTTTACACAATTTACATGTGTTGCTGTTTTTCTTGGTGTAGAATTTGGGTTGGCAACATGCAGAACTTGCTTCTTTTTTTTAAAGTAGCAAGTATATACAGTCATGAATATTAATGTTACTGATGCAAGAAACCATTTCCTGATGACTAAGAATGATGAAATGAAATTTGTTTTTCCAAAGTTTTCTCAGCTTTCTAAGCATCTTCATGAAAGCAGCTGCCTTTCCCAACCTGGTGCTCTCCAGATGTTTTGGGCTGCAACTGCCCAAGCACAAACGAACTGTAAAAAATAATTAAATAATCCACTTACCACTTCACCTTCCTTTCCTCCAAAATCTAAGTAAAGCATCCGAATCCCATCATCTGAGGACATTTTTAGCTTCTCATATGGAAACTGTAGAATGGTTTTGGGAAAGGCACCATCTTGGGGTTCAGTGGTGAGAGTAAATCCATGGTCATAATGGACAGTCAAGCGGCACTCTTGGCTTTTGTATGTGCAAGCTGGATAATGAGAATGACAAAATCTCACCAGTAAATTTGGAGGACTTCAAAAACAAAGATAGTACTAAGAAAACATGATAAGCCCAATGATAAGACAAGGATCTACAGTAGCCTAGGGAAGCGGGGGACCTAGCTGAAAACAGGTTCCAATGATATGAAGAAAGCATAGTACAGAAATTCCAGTGTACCTGGTAGATTGCCAACAAGAATTAAAAAGCCATGTGGAACCAGCACTGGCCCAAGGCATTCTGCTGCCTCCACCCACTACACCTGAAGGCAGCAGGCAACATTTATTGCATGCAGAGAAAAGCACAAAGCATGGAGGTCTCTCCCAGCATCTTGTTGCTGCCTCCAGCGTCTGCTGCCTGAGGTGACTGTTTCAGTCTGCCCGTCGGTAGTGCCGGTCCTGCATGGAAGGCAGCTGCATTTAGTCAAAAAGGAAGCAAGAGTGGAGGGTCTAGCAGCTTCACCAAGTCTAGTTTTGTATGGCTTGCTTTAGATAGCATAGCAAGTTTTTTTAGACCAGCAAGAAACCTTGTTTTAGAAAAATGGGTGAGAGAAGTTTGAGGCTGCAAATTGGCACTTTTTAGGAAACCCAGGAATATCTTGGTCTATTTGCTATTGTCCTTTATAGCTTCAGCTGTTGGGGTAGTATAGAATTTAAAGAAGTGCAGGAGCTCCGTCCATCACAGAGAGCCTTCCTCTTCCACACCTGACATATTCCCTGATCTCAAGGACTTCTGTCAGCAACAGAAGGGGAGAAGGGAAGCAGGGCCATTCCTTCAGGTCTCTCTTCTGAGAGTGGCCACCTCTGGTTCCTCTTCTCCCTCATCTGTCACCTAGGGCCAAAAGACACATTGCTTTAAATCTACATGTAGCAACTACGACTTTTTAATTTTTTACTCTTGAATAGCTATCAGCCTCTGATCCAGTCCTTGAAGAAACCCTACCCCTCACACTAGGGTTCTCATCAGGATTACTGTATATCCCTACTCTAGAGTAATTTTTTTAAAGATGTAGCTGATGGATACAAATTCAAAGCATCTAGCAGGAGCCGTTCCATCAGGCTGCTTGAATTTGTTTCTGTCCCAGCTGTTAAATGCAAGAATTGCTGCTAGTTCTTAGAAGAACTGCTGCTGCTACTGCTCCCCAGCACCCCCCCTTCTGCTCCCTCTCCCTGAGTGCCATGACTTCTACATCATAAGTCTAAACACAGAGACCATTCTGTTTCAATTACATACCTTTTGGCTCGAGAGCTAAGTAAAAACGTTATACATATTTATAGACCTGGTCTTAGCCAAGACAGATGAAAATGGCACTTTAGCTTCCTCATCAGAATAAACAGGAATTGATGCTTCGAAACAGCCTGACATTTGCTCCTTGGCCAATCATGCCAAGATATAAGACAAATGGAACCTTAACTACCTCCTTGCGTACAGGAACTGCAACTAAACAGTGATCTAATACATTGCAATCCCATACATGTCTATACAGAAGTCCTACCAAGTCCAATGGGGTTGCATACATTTGCAGACTTAACTTGCTTTCCGTTGGGAGAAGCACCTGCAGGTCTTAAGTCCTGCCAAAGTCTCTGCTTCTGCTAGAGACTGGTTACTGGCCAGAGTTCTATGAGCTTGACTTACCAGTTGTGATTTCTGTGGAGAGCTCTGCTGCATTGTGGCAACCCTGAACTATGCTCCGGGTCCACAGAGAGAGGTCTCTGCTAGTATCTGTCTTGAAGAGATGGCTTTCAATCCCTTGCCGTGTGCCCGTACGAGTAGCAAAGGACAGATCCATCCTGGACTGTGGTGAGCCTTTCCCGGGCCCTGAATGCACCAACCTGAAGGCAAATCAATGGAAAAAGATGCAAACATTACTAGAAGAGACCATAACCTAGCGACTGGCCGCATATTTGGCATGCAAAGGAACCTGGGCTTAATCCACAGCATTTTTAGTTAAGAAGGATCACAGAGCAGTCTTAAGAGGAAAGATTCTCCAGTTGGCAATGAAGAAGTCTTTGAAGTAACTCCAAGTCTTTAAGGTACCATTTGGACCCCTGCAGCCAACTCAGAAGAAATAAATGGGTGAGGAAAGGACATGTTGGCTGTGATAGCTTTTCAAAATGGTGCTCAAGGCTGGTTGCTCCTCAGAACTATAACTGACCACTTGAGCAAAATCTCCAGTTTCTAACACAGCTTCCCACTGGGTGAAATCAGGATTCTCACTGTCCAAAGCAGTATTTTAACTGGCACTGCAAAATACCTGAATGATTGGTTAGAAGCAGTTCTGCCTAAGAAAAGCTGGGACTCTGGCAGCTTACTGGAGACCTTCAGCAAAAAGATCTACGAGGGAGGACACCTTTTCCCCAATGAAGTCTCATCCCTCACTATCAGTCTTCTTCTGCAGTCTATCACTGCTGGGGTATCGGATGCACTGAAGGGGTGGCACTGCCCTGCATGAATGGAATTTGTGGTCTAGCAGAAGTGCCTGGGTTGGATGTATATCCCTTGCTATATAATTTATATTAGATTTGATACTAAAGGCCTGAGACTTACAGCCAGACATTTCTGTTTGCTAAAAGTCATATAAGTTCCTGCCAAATTCATGAGATACACTGGGGCCTTTTTTAAAAAACAATGTTAATTTAAGTTGGAAGATTTTGCCAGGCAGACAAGTCCTGACTGCCTGCTTGGGGCAGATTGCTGTAGGTTTTCTTGTGGAAGCCACCATTTAGGAGTAGTGAAACAAGGGCTTGAGAAACTGGAACATTTCCTGGAACCCTAATGAACTTAGAAGCTGCTATTGAAAGGATTAATTAGAACAGTTAGAAAAGTGCTTCTCTCAGCTTTTGAACTGTGGTTTAATTTGAAGATGATTTCTGTCAATGTAGGATGTCTAGGTTTTCTCTGTGAACTGATGAAAGCTATAGTTACTAATTATTCTTTCTAAGCTGTACATGCAATTTCGAGAGAGTTGGTTTGCGCTGCCTGTGCCAAAGGGTCATGTCTGAAATGGGAGGAAGTGAGCTTCATCTCCTCTGTGGCACCCTTTACATAAATAAGATTTATCTATATAATCTGAACTCTGCCTGAATGCCTCTCTTTCATACAAAGAAGAAACTATGCCTGTATACCCTGGTGTACACCCTGGTGTGGACCAGGCTTTTTCCCCCCATTCTGGACACAACATGTCTTACCCCTCTAATTCCAAGGTGGGTGAAGGTTCTGTCAGCATCTTCTGATAGATCTCACGGTGATACACAGGAAACCAGCAGGATTTCTGGCTCCCCGTTGTTTCACACTAGCAGAAGCAACATTACTTCTTCTCTTGTCCCTTACAGGCGCAACTTCCAGAAAACTGAGAATGGAGTTTGCTGCGCAAGGACTTGGGACATTTGAAAGAAATCCCAGAGCACGGCAGCTGTTCAGAAGCACTCTGTACTTTAAATATCAGGGTCAAATTCAATCTCACTTGAGTTGAACCTTCACCTGAACAACAGAACTTTCTTCTTCTCTCCTTCCTGCTATAGCCCACTGCATCACTCAAAAGCTCCAGGTTTTCCAGACCTCCGGAACAGGTTTTGAGGTGAGGGACTGTAGGGAGACTCCCCCTCTTGCTTCCACTTCCAGAAACTATTCTGTCAGTGGAACAACTTCGTTGATCTCCTTAGAGTGAACAAACCGAAGGCATCCACACAACATTTGGGGAACCGTAGGTTAGCTTGGACTCCTAGCTTGTAGATGGGAGACAGTGCTCCATCCTTGGAGCTGGGAATTGGGGATCTGCCTCATTGCAGCCAGACTGATTGTCCTCTTAGCTAGAATGTCAACCTCTGAGCGGGTGGGCAAGGAGAAGACTGGGAAGCCAGGATATAAGATATTCCGGGCCTCTCTAACCTACCTTTCCACCTCTGAAATGCCATTGATACCACTAGACAGGCAAAAAAGGCCAACTAGCAAAAATTTACAGAATAGGAGGTGAAGAGCACAATGCTTAGAATATCCTTTTAATTCTAAGTACTTCTATTGTGCCTGGCTCCTGATGGTGTAACTCAGGGCTCCAGTAAAATGAAAAGCAGAACTTGCAAAAGTTCTTTACCATTTTCCTTTGCAGTCCCCTGCATCACCTTATTTGTTACAGAGGTTTCCCCAAAGACTTGAGCAGCTTTTCTGGAGGCACAAGGGCCAGCATAGGAAGAGGTGAAATTGTAGAAGTTTGTATCTCCTGCTCCCTTTTATCCAGTGTGAGCAGAACTCTGTTAAGACCTCTGTTTCTGTTACTGTTAAGAACTCTGTTACTTCCCAACTAGACTTCTGCAACGTGCTCTACGTGGGGCTACCCTTGAAGACGATCCGGATACTTCAATTGGTGCAGAATAGAGCTGCCAGGCTGCTGATGGGGACTGGGTGTTGTTCTCATATAACCCCAGTTCTCCGTCAGCTTCACTGGCTCCCTGTTGAAATCTGGACCCAATTCAAGGTGTTGGTTATGACCTATAAAGCCCTTTACAGCTTGGGACCTGGTTACCTAAAGGAACGTCTGCGTCCATATATGCCCTCCCACCCCCTATGATTGGCAGCGGATGCCCTTCTCCGGGAACCCTCCGTGAATGATATTAGGAGGGTGAGTACCTGGAGGAGGGCTTTCTCTGCGGTGGCGCCCCATCTATGGAATGCGCTCCCCAGAGAGGTCTGCCTGGCGCTGTCATTATTTGCTTTTCAGCGCCAGGTGAAGACTTTTTTATTTAAAAGTTATTTTAACTGTTAATTTATTATTATTGTATTTATAGATTTTAATATATATAGCCGAGATGGTACCAGTTTTTAAATTAGTAATTGTATTTTTTATGAATGTTGTGAGCCGCCCCAAGGCTTTGTTGCGATGGAGTGGCATAGAAATGTTTTAAATAAATAAATAAATAAATAAAAATAAGACCTGTAATTTGGATCAAACCCATTACATTCTTAAGGTACACACACTAAAAAAGTGAAATGCAAGAAACACCTGCTTCCAAACATGTTTCATACAGATTATATCTCTTCAGAATTGTTGAACTGTTTAATTCATAGGATAGGAAAAAATAGCTACAAATCTTCAAATACGGATAGAACAGCATTAAAGAGCTCTGAAGTATTTATTGTATAGGGGTTGTGTGCATTTTTTTTAACCAAGGAAACAGGCCATTTGAAGGTCACTGAAGAAGGGATGGAGTAGAGAAAACTCTAGCAATTGTGAATGAGGAAGGAATGGTTGGCTACAAGCCTCAGCTTTCGCTGGGAGAGTTCATTGGAAGAGGTTCTTCCAGTTAAAAGCATTTTCCCCAACAGGTTGAAATTTTCAGTACCATTTCAGTACCAGCACACACCAGCAGAGGGCAGAGGACTGCTCAAGAGAGCTGCTCTATATCTTTATTTGATGGGCATCTTAAGAAAAGACTTGTAGTGTCCATTCGTTAAATTGACAGGGAGAAATGAATCAGTCTTGTTCTGATCCATGTCACATTCGCCTGTGTTCACTGATGAGCCTAGTGTCATGTTCCTGCATTAACAAATATTCAAAATCTATGCACGAGTTTTCATTTAAATACTTTTAACACTTTCTATCAAAAATCTGCATTCCAGAGGCACTCTCTCAAAAGAGGCATTTTGATTTTAAAAAATGCACTGGGAACCAATCATAACATTCAGAAGTGTAAAAACTGGTGGATAACTTAAGTCTGAGTGATGCAGATCAGATCCTTTCATTCTTGGATCCACAAAGACTGAACTCCTCAAACATTTCTATGTGTAAAGGATTTGGAACATGTTAAAAAAAACTTATTTATTGCCTATTCTTCATTTCCCTTTAATGAACTTTACCTTAATGGACTTTCCACCATTTTGCAAATATATTATTTATTTATTTAAAACATTTTTATGCCGCCCCCCATCACAACGAAGCCTCGGGGCGGCTCACAACAGGATACAAAGTACATAAATACATAAATAATAACAATATAACAATTTTAAAAAATTGTTTAAAAGCTCCCGGTGCATCTCAGCTAAAAATTTAAAATCCTATTAATTTAAAATCTTATTAATTTAAAATCCTATATATATGCTCTGATTACATACATAACATACATCCAAATAGCTTTGGGTCCCACCCCCACCCCAAGTTAGCCAGCTCTTTATGGTATTTAGCTAGGCCTCATCCAGCTCATTTGCTGTGTTGTTGCTCTCACTTCAGTTCCATGAAAATCGACTGTTGCTTTGATGCCCCCTAGCCCAGGGTTGGTTAGATTTCAGACTTGCAGGATCTACTTTGTGTCTTGGTAGAACGTGGAGATCCACCAAGTGGAACCAAATGCAAGATGCTGCATAGGGATTTACTCTGAGTCCCAAACTGAGTTGAACTCACAGTCTTTTACAAAAAGCTCCACTCCTGGTTATCCCAGCTTCCAGTAATTTACAGGCGGTGCAGGACAGAGTCATTTTGCTATTGCTACCAGTCAGAAATCTTTGCTGACCTGTAAATCTTCTCAAGATCCACCAATATATCTCCATCTACCTTCTTACCACAAGCATACTTCCCTGTAGGAAAGAGCTGGCAGAGGAAAGACCATGGAAAAGGAGTCCAAGAGGAAGATCCAGGACTGTGAACATTTCTAGACAGCTTGGTAATGCCCAGAGCCAAGCCACTTCAGCACTGCCAGCAGCCTTAACTCCAGAAAGGGAGCTGCAAGAACATGCTGAACAATTTACATGCCAAAACACTGTTGCGGAATCAAATATCAGAAGCATGGTTGCAAAAGCTACACTACATCCCAAAGAAAGAAAAGTTTACAGGCTTAGACGAACAAACACGGATACATTTCTCTCCCTTTGTTTGAATACCAGAACTCAAACTGAAACAAAATGAATGGTCAGATTCTTTGCATAGATAATGAAAGTTCACATGAGCAGGGAGTGGCAGGACCAGTTTCTGCTGTATGTTTAATTGTATCTCTGGATGTGCAGGCATATACAGCTTTCCATGTGATAAGGAGTGCTTGTTCTTGAGGACATTCAACCCTGACTTGCTGTCTACATTTTCTGCTTATATACTGTAACTATTCCTGATGTTCAAAGATCCACATCCATCTGTCTTGCTACTTGGGTTAACAAGCTCACCAGTGCAGTGATGTCTGTAATCGCCCAAGAATGGCCACTATTAAAGTAATTATCACTGTCTGTACTTTCTGCATTTCAGTTCTCTCTGACTTGCTGTTTACAACCCTACTCACACTTACATAAGCTTCTGTCAACTTGATGAAGTGGCCGTGAAAGCCTAGGTCATAATAACATCGTTAAGTCTTCAAGGTGCCACAGGAGTCTTGTTTTTCACTGTCATTTCTTCAGGGTCTCTGTGAAGAGCTGCACACGCACCTCAAATATACAGCTGATGTCTGTGTCAAAGTACAGACATCACTCCCCATCCCTCACCATTTATGGAGGACCCAACCAGCGGTGTGAAAGGGCTGGCAAGGAAGGTAATCTGCCACTGGTTGAGTGCAGACGAAGTCCATCACCTGGAAATTCACAAGACCTCTTGATCCCAGGTTGGTCACTAGTCTGGCTAACTAAATAAAAGTGATCAAATGCATGGTGAATTGTCTCTGGTATTCTTCATTGTGAGACTGAAAAGGAGCCTTTGGGCATAGCAGTACCGCACTGCTTCCCAACAGCCACCAGAGAAAAGTCACTGTCCTCATGTTCCATTTGTAAGCACTGAGATTCAACTGATTGGTTGTTAAGAGCAAAAAATACAGGCCTAATCCAGCAAGCCAATTCTTACATTCTCAGTGGAAGATAAATCCCAGTGAAACCAGTGCAGCATAGATTGAAGTCTTATACTCACTTATCCAGGAGTAGCTGCCACTGAACTCAATGGGTATTACCTTGAATAGACATATTTGGGATTATGCTGTCACATACACCGTTAAGAATCAAGTCTTACTGATGGCAATGGGACCCAGAAACATGCAACATGGTGAGGGCTGTACCCAAGAATCTTAGACGACTACCATGTAAAATTTCGCATCCAGGCATAAATAATAGTGCAAGTTTGGTATAAGGAAATAGATGGCAACGTAAACAAATGCCATATTTTCTTTTTGTTTTGTGGCTATTAGACTCCATCTGAGGACAAGGGCTTTCTTATTATTGGTCCATTTGGGCATCTCACTCTTCCAGCTGACTAAAAAGACTCTAAATAAAGAAATAACAGTAAGTGCATTACTTCTTTGAAAAAACACAGTGTTTTCATGGAGGAAGGTACCTGGTGGCCAGCAGAGGGTAGGAATGAAGGGGACTAAACCAAGCTTCCTTGATTCGTGGCATACTTTCATACATCAAGAGATCCTTCTCCGTCAGTACCATGAGCACTGCTTTCCAATGCTTCTCATTCCCTGCCAGCACCTGGAAAAAGAAATAATAGTCCCAGTGAAATAATGGCAAGGAAAGATATCAAGAAATGGCAGTTGTCTGTTAGAGGTAAGAACATGCTTCTGGGAAGGCAAAGGTTCATTTAGTGAACTATTTTTCAGCCCATCTTTAAGGAGAACAATTGGTTCCATAAGGCAACTTGCAGCAGCCGTTTCCTACCAGCATCTCTTTTGGATGTGTCGGGCTCGTCCCCAGTCTGTGGTGGATAGTGAGAATTGTACCCCAACATACCTGGGGATCACCTGGTTAGAGAGGGCAGGTTTCCAGCAGTACCATAATAAAATCTACAACCTATCAGGATAAATCACTCATTATACGCTTTGCCTAATAACAACAGAGATGGGTTTCTGAGCCCATTTAAAAGTGAAAAGCTCTGATGGAACTCCCCCCCCCACCCCCATAAGGGAGTTCCACCCGCTCCAAAGCACCACTAAAAATGCTTTGTCTGGGGAAGGTTGGTGTACCCAGAGTATCTATTTTGGGATAACAGCAGTCATTGCTTTTTAAAAGAAAAAGTAAATGTTTGTGTGCTAACATTTACTTACTAAAGCTAATAAATGCAGTGCAGTTCCCATTGTGTCAAAAATGTGATTTTGTGTCACGCACAAATGCCATAGCAGAAGAAGCAGGAAGAATTGGAAAGCTAATGTGTATTGAGAAATGGGTTTTTTTGTGTGAACTAGCTAGTTAAAAAAAGGACATAAAGAAAGAAGAAAGTGGGAATTAACAGTTCTTTCCCTACCCTTGGAAAACATAATGGAGAAGGAAAAGGGGACGTAGAAAGAAGGGAAGGCCGTGGTACTGTTGCTGCCATCTGCACCTCCTCTGTGCAATCCCTCTGTGAAAATGTGAAAAGTTTAAAATATGAAAAATTTAAAGTTCAAGTTTTGAGGGGGTGTGACTTTTGGGCTTTTTAGTCAAATAACCAATCCAGGTTTTGCCAAATGATTTAAAACAGCATTTAAAATCTGTGAAACCTATATTTAAATTAGTCTCTGCCTTCTATTTTGCAAAGCCATCATGTGTATTTCATTAAATGAAAAGGGTTATTTCAATTACTAAATCCTGTTTAGAAAACAAATTTATTTATTACTGCCAAGTTCACTTTTCTAGTAAACATTTGAGCTGGTGGAATTTAAATAAAGCACCCTTTTGAAGGCGTACTTCATAAAAGCTAGTGTGGTGTAGTGGTTAAGAGCATGGGTTTGGGCCAGTCCCAGACTTTCAGCCCAACCTACCTCACAGGGTTGTTGTAGGATTAAGACTGAGAGCAGGAGGAGGTGAATTATGTAAGCCACTTCGAATTTACTGTAAAAAGTGGGGATGGAAAATTAATAATAAAATAAATGAATAAATAAATGGTACTTGATTTTGCAGGGAATGGTCCGGTGTATCCACAGACCAACCAGGTGTGATTCTGTGCACTCTCAAATTTCTAGCATTCCCCAGCTGGTCATACAGGCTGGGAATACTGTGAGCTGTAGGATGTTTCTGTTTAAATATGTATAGGATTGACACTTTAATATAAATAAATACATATAATCTGCTTGTTGGTTTTCTTATTCGAAAGAAAAGAGCTTTTGAGACATGATGGCAAATTGTTTTGGGATGCCTTTTTATCTCTTTGCATTCAGTGAATACCTGCAGTCAGCATGCCATCTGCTGAACCCTTCTACCTTTTTGTAAAAACAAACAAACCTCTTTCGAGCACAAGTCCTCAGCACAGCCAAGTTCTGAACACAAAAATAATGGCATTTCATCGACTACAGTAGAATAAGATTCAGTGCAGACATCTCTCATACGAAATCTGCATTTTTCTGCACCTCTCCCAGCTACATTCGTAATCACCCAAGCTCACTCAAGCAAGGTGATTTCCAGCACTGAAACTGATTAGTACAGACAGCCATAAACACAGGATGTTGGTACTTTCCATATAGCAGGAAATTGGGCTGCATTATACCTTTGACCCTGATAGCAATGAAGGAGGCAATACTCGGAGAATTATTTCAAGAGGAAGACGAAAAGAAAAGAGCAGCTGCATTTTCATTTCTAATCTCTTCCTGATCTCAGTGCATTTTACAATGCCGGCTTCTGTCACTATCAGATCTGGACATTAGCCAAGGCATACAAAATTCCCCACAGGGCGCAGTATAAAATGTTGGAAGTATCGCACAAAAGCGAGTGATGCAGAGGGTGAGGGGGCTGCAGTGGAGTGGCGACTGTGAACTTTGGCTGGGGGACCATTTCTGTTCTAGGAGTCTGAGCAGTAAGGGGGACCTTATTCAGCAGTAAGGGAGACAGAACAAGGAGAGACAGTGGGGACTCCTTTTGTCTCCAGATGTAGAGCAAATGGTGTGAAAAGTCCTGCGGCAGTTGCCAAAGACGGTGTCAGGCTCTAATTCCGTTGGGGCATCAGGAGGTCAAGCCCCTTCCCACTCACACTCGTGGTGGCAGAACTAGAGAAGGCCCATCATGACAACTGGAGGAGGAAAGAGCCAGAGAGGGCAGAGCAGAGGCCCTGGGGAAGCTTTCCACCTGGAGATGCAAGCCTGGACTTGTGCCTAATATTCCATGCCTTCCCTGGTCTGCCCCCCCCCCCCCCCCCCGATATCCATGCATTAAGGATGGGCTCTGCAGAGATAACACTTGAGTGCGAAGGCTTCTGCATGAGCCGGAGCCCTGACTGTGCAGAGTTCTAGGTTGTATAGAAGTCCACGTGCATAGCAAACGCACGCACTCAACACATGGATGTGATGGACAGAGCCAAAGAGCAAAGGGTCCTTCTGCGTGGGGCCAACACCAAGGTCGTGCTACATCTTTGCACGTGGGTGGCACCTGCCATGGGACTCCAGTGAGCCGCAGAGGCTTCCAAGGCACCTTTGAGGGTCCACACAGATCAAAAGGCCTGTCAGATCACATGGTGGCAGTGCTTCTACCAGTACAAGGGGCGTGTGGGGGAGGCGGGGAGCGAAACATCCAAGCACCTTTGGACTGAAGTGGAAGAATCCAGAAACAGGCTTGCTACCTCATCTGCTGCAGGGAGAGCTGTACTTTGAAGTACGCTCTCGATCATGCGTATGCCTGGACAAGGGCTGAAAGAACCCATGAGCTCCTGAGCATTTCTAGGCTGCAAGTTTGCTGGCTAGGAAATGCCGGGCATTGTATGATTTTTTTCTGCCTTGAGATGCATAAGATCGCACCTTTCATCCATTATCAGAGACTAACATCCTTCCTTCCATTCCTTGCAAAATAATGGACAATGCTTGAAGATTAGCTGAAATCTATGCAATGCACTATGAGTTTTAATTCCTACCTGGCATTTAAGTGGAGTTTTCAAAATTTGGTATGCATACCACATGCAGATGGAGTGCAATGCGGTATTTCTTCCAGATTACTAAATGATGAAGGATTGTTAAAGCTGTCAGTCTTGAAATCAAAATCCTATTAAGACATTATGTACTATCTGATATGGAAACTGACATATTTGATGCTTCTAACTTGCATTTCCACTCGTTTGGGTGTTATCCGTACTTTAATTAGGGTGCTCCCTGTCCTGGACAACCAGGGCTCTTTCCCCTGCTGCTCATCTTAGGAACATAAGAAGCTGCTTTTTATTGGATCAGTCAAGCAGCCCAGTGCCATCACACTGACTGCTTGTAGTTCTGCAGAACTTAAGATAGGGATCTGTCTCGGCTCTACTTGGAAATGTTGAGGATGGAACCTGAGACCTCCTACATGCTCTACCACTGAGCCACATACAATCCTTCTTGCACACAAAGCGGGTGAGCTGGAAAAGTGACCTCTGCGACTTTCCTCTGCGCAAGTAAATATGAACTGCAGACAACCAGGGGGAAAACTCTGCATACGTTGGACCTGGACCAGGTCTTCTTCTTTGTCCTTACAGTTGTGGGCAGACAAGCAAGGGAGAAAGAGAAGGAAGGATGTTGTTTCAGGTCTTACAGTTTGACCAACACAACTCTCTTTTCTCTTTTCCCTTCCAGTGTGTGCTGATTCTCTTCCTCAAGTCATGATCCAAGTGCAGCAGTTTGCTATTATGTTTCAGTCCTGCACATACAGGTAAGCCATAGTTTTGGAAACCCAGATTAAGCCTCATGCCCAATTCAGACAAAAAGGTAAACACTTGTTAAGTAGAAGCAGGAAGAGAACTAGACATACTGAAGAGAAGAAGGAAGCAAAAGGTGTGAGCCTGACCAGCCGTCGCAAGCAATATTTTGGCAGTGCCTTTGAAACCAGGGCATGACCCTCCGTTTTTTATTTTCCATTATGGCAGCAACATTATTACTAAGAATTTTAACATTTTGCATTCACTTGCTTGGTTCTAGTGAAAGGCCCTTGCACTCAACCTTTTGAACTCTCGTCTCCATCCCAGGGGTCATCTCATTCAGCAGAGGCTTGTGCAGCATTTTCAGAGGACAACTTACAATGCCCAGCATCTCCCAGACAGCAGAGCTTCCAAATCACATGAGATACTGGTTCCCCTCTGTTTGGCTCTAGTTGGGATGCTTCTTGAGCATTGTCTCCAGTTCTGGGCACCACACGTCAAGAAAGATGCAGGCAAACTGGAAAAAGTCCAGATGAGGGCAACAAAGGTGACCAGGGGGCTGGAAACAAAGCCCCGTGAGGAGTGTTTGAAAGAAGCAGGCATGCTTAGCCTGGAGAAGGGAGACAGGTGAGATATAACAGCCCTATTCCAATATTTGAAAGATGTCACAGAGAGGAGGGCCAGGATCTTTTCTTAGTCATGCCAGAGTGCAAGACAATGAATAATGGGCTCAAGTTACAGGAAGCCAGAGTCTGGCTGGGCAACAGGAAAAGCTTCCTGGCTGTTAAAGCAGTATAGCCATGGAACCAATGACCCAGAGAGGTTGTGGTCTCTCCCACATTTGTGGTATTTAAGAGGCAGTTGGCCAGCCATCGGGCAGGGATGCTTCAACTTGTGGTCCTGCACTGAG